TACAAAGCACCGAACTTCGTCGCACTGGAGATAACCAAATATGACTGTTTGACTCTCTAGTTGGGGTTGAGCGACAGGTCCGTCGTTTTAAGGACACGGTGTACTCAGTGTTAAGATAAGGCGTTGAAGACGAAGAAACTTGTCTAGAAGGAGGAAGAAAAAGTGGTGATTGAGTGATTAAAGTTTTCGGAAACCACCAATTTAGCAATTTAGCTTTCCTGTTCTAACCGATGCTATCAACTTATTCAGGGTTGAGTGTAAAACACAGCTAGTACCTTTAGTGATGTTGTGTACTAATGTGTAAGTGTCACCAATCTGGACTTACCCTCGACAACCTCTTTGTGTACAATTCTCTTATGCCTATGTGTTGCAGTTGACTTGCTGTGATGTGGTGGTCACTGACAGATGGCATGACAGTGACCAGGCACACCAAGCATTTTGTACAGCTGGTCAGATTATTCTGGTTTGGCGTAAACTTGACAATGAGTGTCTTATACAGCAGACTACGATTCTTTTGATTCAAAATCCCACGGATTTGCAACGATCAAGTTTCCACCCGGAGGTTTTGATTATGGGATGCTGTGCGAAATTTCCGACCGAGATGAGATTAGGATTTGTAGACTTTCATTGGTAGTTACAGGTAAAACATGATTTGAGAAAGATAGGTTTTAGATGGGACCTTGATACGTGCGCCTATATCCGCTTGCCAGAACTACTGGTTGTACGACAACTACTAGCTTGCCGCCGCCATCTCTAACTGATTAATCACTTCTCAATTAGCCTCTTCTGTTCAACTCCACCTTCAAGCAAGACCTCGACTGCAGCGCCGCCGCTGCCACCATCGACTCCGCCTCCGACCTCGACTCTCTTCGCCATGGCCGCCAACGACTGCTTCCCCCGATTGGCAGGCCCCAAGAACGTCACATAGTAGCACTTGACGTGTCAAACTTCGCACAACCAATAGTTCTTATATATATCTAAGAACTATTGGTTGTGATGCTGCTCCTAACATGCCGCAGCCAACTCTAACTTGTCAATCACTTCCCATTTTGCCTTCGAGGAAGAACTCCTCCTCTTCCAAGAACAACAGTCTACAGTTCCTAATTTGTACTGTCTTCCCCTCGAACGCCTCCTCGATGCTACTGTGACATTTCAGGACGGGAACGCTATTTTTTTCTTCATAATCCCTAATCCAGTTTTTAGCAGCTCTTCCGCTTGCCTCTAACCTTATGCGTCCTTTCTTTTTTAATAAGAAAGCGAGACATAGGATCATAATAATCTGTTGTGTCTACACCTTGTTTTTGGAGAATAGGATGCCCGCAGCTTAAAGCACAACGAGAGGAGTTGGTTTTCTCATTTTCAAAATGCTTCGCCTTTTCTCAAGTGCTCCTTCTCTACCACAGCTCGACTACCAAGCAAACCCCTTGTAAAGGTTTGGCT